TCTGATCTTGCTGCTAAAGAACTTTAATTTGAAGTACCATATGAGCCATCGTCTAAACTCCTAGTATCCCGCTTAATAAACCCTATAGTAGTCCCCTATATAATCCCTTATATACCCCCCCTTTAAGGAGTTTAGACAATAGCTCATAAAGGGTAATCTTGGGATCATGGAAACTACTATAGTATAATGGGGGTCATATATAGAGATAATGGAAGAGAACATGGAAACTACTATTTAGGGTTCTAGAACCAACTGCAGGAGGAAAGTCTCCAACGGGGGGGGGGGGGCTATGTAAGGGGCACTTGAGAGCTTTGCAAAGGGTGAGTGTGCCGAGTCCTGTGTACGGTCCCTTCTTCGAAGCTACCCTCGTGTAGTTGCCTTAGACCGTTCCTAGCCCTGAAGCTATGATCCGATCGTATAGTGATGAAACCCTACTTAGAGATTCATGCGTAAGAACAAGGAAGAACAACCAGGGCCACAAACAGTCTGAACCCTACTTGAACCCCAAAAAGTAAGTAAAATGATGGCCTAAAGCCATGCAAAAAAGTCAAAAGGCTATTATTCTACATACTTTTGGTGGTCCAAGAACTGCTTACCGCATGTGAGCTACAATCAATGTTTCGTAAAATCTAATGGACATGGGTTCCTTATTAGGGGCTATATTAGGGACTATACAAACCTACAAGAGGGACCCCTATGTCCACTGTCAAGGATTGGTTAATAAGGCTTAGATTTACAGCAGCTCCCTAAACCCTAAACCCTAAAACCTTCAGGGAACCTCTGAGAGAAAGCCATGCTTCGAAAAGAGCCAGGCCTGACGTACAGCAGTCAGCACCACCTGGCTAGCCGCTTGTGTCGCTTTGCGGGGCTTAGGGCTTGGGTAGAAGAATTGTATGTAAATTACATTATCGGCAGGTACCTGTGCTGTCATAAATTTGAGGAGATCCTCGTGCGAGTTCATGCGGCAACCTAGGTCAAGTCCTCTGGCGGGATCAAATCCTCAAATCTCAGCTGGCTTCTAGAAGTATAGATGACCAAAGTTTACTTGACAAATATGTGGACTCCAATAAAGACCCCTAAGCACGACAATCCCAATTTTAAGGACCCGCAAAATGGTATCCCTAATTTGGGAACCCCCCAATTAATTCCAGGGGACTTCAGTAACAAGAATCATGATAGGAAGCAAAAGTACTAATGCTATACATGAATACTAAGAATAATCATGAAAAATAGAAGGCTTTCCCAAAAATTGGTGTTTCCATTTCCTTTCAATTATTCCTATATAGCCCCTATAGAACCCCTATATAACCTTAGCCAGACCTTGCCATTGTCCGCTGAAAGGTTTTCACTCACTGGGAACTTCAAAGCTGTACACAGCACGCTCCGAGCGTGTAAGTTGACCGGCCAGGCAACTGACCTATAGTCCCCCTCAAGTAGATAGAATCTGGTTTTGGGTATATTATAATAAGATCCCCATACGCCCCATATTCTATCTACTTAAGGGGGACTATAGATCTTGACCACTACCCCTGCCTGCAAGAAGCCCAGAAGCAAAAGTATTCTGAAAAACTTAAAGCTGTACACAGCGGCTGCCGTTCGCTGAATCAAAGCAGCAGCTTGGACTGAGCCAAGAACTTCTCAAGGGCCTTTCGGGCATCCTCCGAGCAGTTCTGTGCTTCGTCAGCATTTGCCTGTAGCTTTCTTTCAAGCGTGATGCAGTGACCCCACCAAGTGACTGAAAAGAAGTGGAGGAATCGTAGGTCTGCCAGAAGATCGCAAAGGATCCGGCGCTCAGGAAGGTCCGTGTGCTGACCTGCGTGCTTCACACAAGGATTCCATTAAAAAAACATATGGAGGGTCGTGAAAAGCATGGCCAGGGACCTATGAAATACAGGGTGCAGCAAAAAGGTTCATACTCCTCGGCAGCTCCCATACGGGTTGTTTTGATAAAGCGCACCTGGGTTAAGCCACTCTGCACATAGGTCGGGCTCCCTTGGGCCCCAGCTTACATTCTCCCAGTCGATGATGCCTGTTAGCTTGCCAGATGCTGGATCGCACATCACATTTCCCAGGTGCAGATCCCCATGACATACTCCAAAGTCAGCACACGAATCCATGATCGCTTGTGTGGATGCTTCGTACTTGTCCTTATAGCGCAAGGTAAATGCACGTACCTCAGCCAGTGATGCAAGCATGTCCTGCCGTTGAACCTGCCAGCCTGACCCAGCATCTTCATTGACGCGGGCTATGACGTCATCCAGCGTTTGAAGCGCAAATGCCGCGAAGCCATCTGTTAGAGGCAGAGGCGGCCCGTTCACGGCCCACTCCACCCCGGTGTCAATGGTACAGCTCCCTTGGACCCGGAAGCCAGCAACCTGGTGCGGTTTCCCACCTGGGCAGGGCACTTTCCCAACAGCCTCGAGCCAAGAGGTTATCTGTTGGATGTAGGCCTCCTGCTGCTTAGGCTCCGCAGAATCCCAGACGCTCTGTAGCTCAACACCGGGCATGCGTTCCATCAGAACGTATTCAGCGGCGATGTCTGAGGTTGCAGTGTCTGCGGACCAGCTCAGGACCTCTGGTATCAGAGGAATTCCCTGCTTCTTCAGGAAGATCATTGCGGCTGCTTTGCTTTCTGTGTTGCGAGCCTTGCGCCAGGCATGGGGATTGGAAACCTGCAGAATGAGTGCTCGCTCGGCCCCCTCCTTGCTGCGAACCGTAAGCGCCCAGTTCGGGTTCACGTTGAAGGGCCGAGCTGTGCAGCCCTCGTGATCTCCGAATGTACAGCCGGGTTCACCCTCTGGGAGGAAGTCGAAGGTTAGCAGTTCCAGTCCCAATTTGCCACACAGTGCCTGGCAAGTAGGCTTGAAGCTGGACCTTCCTTGGAGAGTGTTTGTTTGGGTTTGCTGTTGTTCTGTTAGTTCAGGTGGCTTTAACAGGACCCTCCAGAGTTGCTACTGCAGCTTTAAAGGTCCAGGTAGAGGTGCCCCTACAGGGCACCAAGTTCTACAGCCTTGGGCCATAAACAAATTTGGCCTGCTGGGAGACCCTTGCCTCGACTCTTGGCAAAGTGACTGCCGACAACACGCGCTGCACCTCCGATAGCTGCTCCTCGACCCCTGGATGCACTTGCTGCCTTAGCGAGGGCCGGCTGCATCCATCTGCGCGCGCCATGCTGCAGAGTAATGAGTTAACAAGACTGCAGCATGAGATGCATTCCCTTTGCCTGTTGCAATGCAAGCCGGCCTATTAAGGACATGCTCAAGGAAACAATCAAGCTGGTCACGAGCACTCTCACTCCTGCAGCCAATTGCAGCGGACCTTTGGATGCTGCACCATATTCAAGTTGAAGCCGGAAGCGTTAAGCAGATGTTTTTGCAACTGTCCTGTACAATGACTGCAGCTTTCCAACCCTAAAACCAATGCCAAATCCTTGCAGGACCCAACTTTTCCTGTTTGGAGGTAGCCATCTGCTACAACGCCCTCAGAGAAAAAGGGCTGGGTTACATCTGGGTTGCAGCTCAAGATGTGGAGGTTCTCTGAACGAAAGGATCGCAATTCGCGATCCAATAAGGACCTTATGGACTTGCAAAAATCTAGGGGGAACCCTGCTCTTGGGGGCTCTTTTGGAAACAGGACTCTGGAATTATGCAATGATTGCCCGAAGGACAACATGATTTCAAACCATCCCTGATGTGGGTAGGGGGTCCAGAATATCCATACAGTGAAGACAGGCGCTATGAAGAACCGAGACCCTAAACCCTCACCCAGTAGGGACCTGCACAATGAATGTAAGACAATGTCTTTGGGCTTTTGGGATAAGATGATGAGACAAGACATCCCGCCATTGAAATTGAAGGAAGATGGGCCAAGGGTTGGTTTGGGGCAAGGTGTTTAGACCTTAAGATTTGGTAGTCTCCCAAAATATGGGGACCCCAATATAAACCCTAGCATACCATAATCCCCACTATAGGAACCCCAAAAAGGTAGCCCTAATTTTGGGAAACTTCCATTTAGAGTTCAGGGTTTGGCGGGCAACAAGGTTCATGCTGCTCATGGGCGGCATCCTGCATGACCCCAAGCAGGACTCGCGTTATACACGCAAAGGACAGCCATGAATCGTCCACAGAAGTCAGCCCGCAGACATGAAAAATGACACCGCATTCCTGTAATGGAAGTGGCTATTTCACCCAAAGTCCCCGGGGCGCCTCCCGGTCTTTCTTTAACTCCGGGGAAACGAACTCAAGGGAGAGGCCGTTGAGGTCCACGGCTTCCAGGACGACCTGGCCAGGACTAGGGTCTTGGGTTTAGAGTTTAGGGTTTAGAGCTTAGGGTTGAGGTGTAGGGTTTAAGGGCTCATGTAAGACTTAAGGGGTTAGGTTTAAGAGCTTAAGAGCTAGGAAGTGTAGAGCTTAGGGCAGAGAAGTAGAGAGCTGATAGCTCGTTACGGGCTAAACACTAACTCGTTGACACTCTTCGCATTTTCTTCTTACTTGCTCTTGCCTTGATACCGCTGCATTTCTTGGACTTTCAGCCATGTCTGGCTTGATGATTGTAAGTCCGGGGTTTAGGGTTCAGGATTTTAGGGTTTAGGGGTTTGGGGTTTGCGGGTTT